TGGTCGGTCCCCCTTCTCTATCTTGTTTCCCACTTTATCTCCATTTCCATTAACTCCTCGTGTCTTTGGTTGTGTGTGCTTTGTCCACAATCTGAGTCCTAGAATAGACAAGCTAGATGCACGCTCAATTAAATGTATCTTCCTTGGCTACTCTCGGACTCAAAAAGGGTACAAGTGTTATAATCCCATTACCCGAAAGTGCTATGTCTGCCCTGATGTCACCTTTTTCGAGTCTATCCCCTTCTTCTCAAGACATGAATCACCTTCGTCTCCACCCTTACTTCCTCTTCCTCTTCCTGTCAGTGATCCAGTTGCAGATGTTGTTGTTGGAGTAGAGTCATTACCTCATCCAGTGCAGATCACCACCGAACGACCATCGATCCGGCAAGTGTGTACACGTCAAACGACACCGGCCCCTCCTCCAGCTTCTACCTCATCTGTGGATCCTCTCATGGCTCCTATTGCTAAACCTTTAGACCTTGACCTACCCATTGCCTTACAGAAAGGTAAACGCAGTTCTACCCTCCATCACATTTTCAATTTTGTTTCATTATCTCGTCTTTCTACCTCACATCGCCAGTTTGTTTCACCTTTGTCCTCTATTTCCATACCTAACAATGTCCAAGAAGCTCTTAGTTCACCTGAATGGCGGCAAGGAATGGAGGAGGAATTTTCTGCTCTTCAAAATACTCAAACGTGGGAACTTACTACTCTCCCACCTGGTAAGCATGTTGTGGGCTATAAATGGGTGTATACTGTGAAATACTTGCCAGATGGTAGYGTGGAGYGTCTVAAGGCYAGACTTGTTGCTAAAGGTTASTCAYAGTTGTATGGAGTGGACTACATGGAGACATTCTCTCCGGTGGCTAAGATTGGCTCTGTTCGTGTACTAATTTCCCTAGCAGTTGTTATGTATGATTGGCCTCTGTTTCAGCTTGACATAAAAAATGCCTTCCTCCATGGTGATCTGGTGGAGGTATATATGGAGCAACCACCTGGGTTTGTTGCTCAGGGGGAGGATGGTAAGGTGTGCCGACTGAAGAAGGCAATTTATGGGTTGAAACAATCGCCACGTGCTTGGTTCGGGAAGTTCAGCGAAGTGGTGAAGAGTTTTGGAATAAAGCAATGCCAGGTTGATCACTCTGTGTTCAGTTATGACTTAGAAGCTGGGAAGATCTTATTACTGGTCTATGTGGATGATATTGTCATTACTCGCAGTGATAAATCGGGGATTAACAAACTAAAGGTATTTCTGCAAAATCATTTTCAAACAAAAGACCTTGGAACATTAAAGTATTTCTTGGGAATAGAAGTTGTCAGGTCAAAACAAGGTGTAAATCTGTGCCAAAGAAAATATGTTCTTGATCTACTGGAAGAAACAGGACTGTTAGGTGCAAAACCGGCTGAGACACCTATGGAACCAAATGTTAAGTTGAGCAGTGATACAAAAGAAGCATTTGAAGATCCCGGAAGGTATAGACGACTAGTGGGGAAGCTGAACTATCTGAATATCATGAGATCCGACATCTCCTTTGCAGTCAGTGTGGTGAGCCAATTCATGCAGAACCCTCGTATACCTTACTGGGATGCAGTTCTTAGAATTGTAAGATATCTGAAAGGAGCTCTAGGCCGTGGACTATTGTATAAACTAGGAGGAAAACTTGAAGTAGTTGGGTATACAGATGCAGACTGGGCAGGCTCAGTGATTGACAGAAGATCTACTACAAGCTATTGCACATTTCTTGGAGGAAATCTTGTGACGTGGAAGA